TCGCTATGTACATATTTCACTGTGCATGTTTCGCTATAAGTAAGCGTGTTTCGCTATGTACATATTTCACTGTGCATGTTTCGCTATAAGTAAGCGTGTTTCGCTATGTACATATTTCACTGTGCATGTTTCGCTATAAGTAAGCGTTTTTCTTCACTATGTACATATTTCGCTATGTACGTGTTTACTAGACGGTCCTGTATTTCCCCTCCTGTCTCTCCAGCCCACTGGTCTGTCCAGTACAAATTCTGCACGCCTGTGTTTGCCGCCAAAAGCGTGTGCCGGCCGGGAGAGATGGCCGCTGTGGTGGAAACAGACGTAAAAACCTGGGCGCCGTACGTGAGCACACCTCGGTGTGTGTGTGAGGACGGGGGCCAGGTCAAGATGATGGGCTGGAGGAGGGAGGGAGGAGTGTGGAAGTACTTCTACTTCTGTGATAAGGTGAGTTTTTGAGGGGGGGGGGAGAGAGAGAGAGAGAGAGAGAGAGAGAGAGAGAGAGAGAGAGAGAGAGAGAGAGGGGGGAGGGAGTGGAATTTTTTCTACTTCTGTGATAAGGTGTACGTGTATGATGGGTTGTTTTTATTCCAAAACAACTTTTTGCATAAATCTAAATATTCGGCTATACTACCACTTCTCGGAATTATTTCGAACATTTCTTTTTATATATTTTTCCTCTCCGTCCATGACATTCTGAGTCTTTCACATCCAGTGCCAGATCTGCGACAGACATCGGCGATCATGGTTCTCCATCCATTCCTTTGCTCGGATGCTCTTAAAAATGCTACATTTCCCTGATCTTTCCCCGTTACCCATTTGTTTAGGTTCCCTTAGTAGGTTGCTCTGGCCTACCTCTGCCTCGTTTGCCTTCAAGTTTGCCAGTGAGAGCTAGATTCTGAGGATTCACCTCAAACACAACATTTCAGAGAGCTCCTGTCTTGTCTCTCTGTGTTTTTGTTTAGTCCAGCTCTCGCATCCATACACGAGAATTGGCCACACGTACACTTTCAGGGTTCTAGTGTTTATGTTCTCTGCTATGTTTCTGTTAGAGAGGATAGATAGTTCCATTTTGTTGAAAGTTTCTTTGGATAATATCACAATCATCTTTTGTATCTCTTTTCTTGTTTCTATCAACCCACACCCCACACCAAACCTCCCCCACCCACCCCAACTACCCTTTCCCCACCTCTTCCATCTCCCATCTCCTTATGCTCCACCCTAC